GTTCTGTACACCACTGTTGTACTGCGCCATTATTTGTCTGTTTGTGGCCAGCCTGTTAGCTTGCACAATTCTTGCCATTCTCCTTCGACCTCTCTAATCAACAAGCTGTTTTAGCCCACAGGTCTGCCACTGACTGGATGTTTTTTGTTTGTCGCACCATTCTCGGTAAACCCTTGACACTGTTGTGCATGAAAAGCCCAGGTGGGTGGCAGTTTCTGAGACACTGGATCCGGCGTGCCAGGCACTGACGATCATACCACGCGCAAAGTCGCTTAGGTCACTCATTTTGCCCATTCTAACATTCAATCGAACAGTAACTGAATGCCTCGATGCCTGTCTGCCTGCTTTATATAGCAAGCCACGGCCATTTTCATGAACGGGGTGGTGTACCTAATAAACTGGCCAGTGAGTGTATATCTCCACCAATGGCAGTAGGCCTACATAAGATATTCAAAAGGGAAACATCTCAATCTCCCAGAAGCTTGGCTTGTGCGTAAAACCCATGAATTCAGACAAACAAAGAAGTGTTTGTCTGAATAGGCTATCTCTGATGCAGCACAAAATATATATATATACATTGAATAATGAAGTAAGCTTTATGCGACATTCTTTAGCGCGAACCCATTAAACCTCTTTGTTTGGCCTACATAAAACCCCCAGGTAAAACTGTTTAAACCCATTTTGTCTTGATTCTCCACCAATTACAGCACACCAACACACAAATGACACAGTCTACTCTAAAACCACCATCTCTCCACGGTGGAGTATCCTAGCTAGCTGTGACCACAGCTTCAGGTGGGTGGTGTGTGTGGGCAGAACAGGTGCAACCGCCCACCTTAGCGGAGGTGCAGAGCCATCTCTGGAGCTGGTCGGGGGAGGCGAGGGCCGAGCCGTTGGACAGCACAGAGCCGGGGCCGGATGCGCATAGGCTGGTGGCTGGGCGGCTGGCACTGACAATCAGCTGGCCCTTCCTAGAGAAGCTGAAATCACTGCAGGTGTCTGGAGGCATGCAGTTCAGCTGGGGGAAGGAGAGAAGGAGGAGGAGAGGGAGGTTTGGTGGGTTATTTCACAGTGGAAGAGGGTACAAAGAAAGCTAAGGTAGAGCTGCTTTGTTTACTGTTTACAAAAATTAAATAGAATAATTTCAGTTAATGTGATTATGTGAATAAAGATACAAGTTGAGAGATATCTAATTCGATAAAGCCACACAGAAAAAGTATCCAAGGAAAGGCTGCCATTCTAAGCTGCTTTCGTTCACCAACAACCGTAAGCCATATTCTTTCACATCCGATTTTCCCACGATAGGAAAATGGGCTGCAGATTAGGGGGGGGGGGGGTCCAATACAATCCTCTGCAGCAGCAGCTCTGGCCGGTCCCAAACAGGTAATGTATTAATAACCTTTAGACTCACATTGTGGAAAGTTATCAGTCTCCTGCTTATTTAGCCCGGGCTGACGGTGCAGCCTTTCCCTTCCATTTCATCAATACACTCGGACAAGGCACTTACTCAAGTCCCGCCAGTAGATATTAAAGCTTGATAGATCCACAAAAAAGCCGCTATGCCACCTCCTCTACGCTATCACGCGATAGGTTTTTACCTGAAGCATTCATAGACACTCGGCTGACCTTCGCAGCACTTAGAATATGAAGGCAGGCATCGGTTACTGCCATTATCTTAATTTGGCATGTGGATTGTTTATTGTAAGACGTTCTTTTTTTTACATCAATAACAATGCAACCTGAATACAAATGAATTAGAGTGTTGCTGGGCGGTTTTTCCGATGCCTCCTTTTAAGCTCAAGGGAAAGGTTTAGAATGCAGTGTTCTGTAGACTTAAAGCACACTGACATTGAGTGGTGTTACCATTTCATCAAAATCTGAAATGTTACATAGCAATAAATCAACCTTGTTTTGGGATACAGTGATGTGAAAAGTATTTGCCCCCTTTCTAATTTTCTCTACTTTTGCATATTTTTTTTATACTGAATGTTATCAGATCTTCAACCAAAACCTAATATTAGATTAAGGGAACCTGATTGAATAAATAACACAAATTACATTACATTTCATAAAAGTTATGCAACACCCAATGCCCCTGTGTGAAAAAGTAATTGCCCACTTACACTCAATAACTGGTTGTGCCACCTTTAGCTGCAATGACTCCAACCAAACACTTCCTGTAGTTGTTGATCAGTCTCTCACGTTGCTGTGGAGGAATTTTGGCCCACTCTTCCATGCAGATCTGCTTTAACTCAGCGACATTTGTGGGTTTTCAAGCATGAACTGCTTGTTTCAAGTCCTGCCACAACATCTCAATTGGGATTAGGTCTGGACTTTGACTTGGCCATTCCAAAACTTCAAATGTGTTGCTTTTTAGCCATTTTCATGTAAACTTCATTGTGTGTTTTGGATCATTGCCTTGCTGCATGACCCAGCTGCGCTTCAGCTTCAGCTCACAGATGGATGGCCTGACATTCTCCTGTAGAATTCTCTGATACAGAGCAGAATTCATGGTTCCTTCTATTAAGGCAAGTCTTCCAGGTCCTGAGGCAGCAAAGCATCCCCAAATCATCACACTCCACACCACCATGCTTGACCGTTGGTATAAGGTTCTTACTGTGGAATGCAGTGTTTGGTTTTTACCAGGCATAATAATAATAATATGCCATTTAGCAGATGCTTTTATCCAAAGCGACTTACAGTCATGCGTGCATTCATTTTTGTGTATGGGTGGTCCCGGGGATCGAACCCACTATCTTGGCATTACAAGCGCCGTGCTCTACCAGCTGAGCTACAGAGGACACATAATGGGATCCATGTCATCCAAAAAGGTATACTTTTGACTCATCTGTCCTTAGAACGTCTTGATGATCATCCAGGTGCTTCTTGACAAACTTGAGTCTACTTTTTGGACGAGATGGGGAATTGGGTGTTGCGTAACTTTGTTAATTAAATCAATAAAATAAGTATAATTTTTGTAAACTCAGGTTCTCTTTATCTAATATTAGGTTTTGGTTGAAGATCTGATAACATTCAGTATCAAAAATATGCAAAAATAGAGAAAATCAGAAAGGGGGCAAATACGTTTTCACGGCATTGTATGTTAACTTGGGATACATGTTTGTTATTATATGTCAGGTTACAAACTCAAGCAAGCCAACATCATAAATCTTAATCATTAAGCTTAATCATAAATGGCCACATAACACTATTGTAATCTCCACACTGCTATTAGAGCCTACACTCTATTCACAAACCACAGGTCTTTATAGCAGGTTTTCCCATTCTCTGCTGGTATCCGTTATTACCTGGTCTTTGAGTTGTTTGATTGAGTGCTGCAGCGTGAGGATGTGTCCTAGCAGCGGGCTCTGTAAGGCATCCCTCAGCACCCCAAGCCTCTCACTGTGGGTCCACTCCTCCCTCTGGGCCATCTTAGCCTGCAGCCGCTCCAAAGCCTGCAAAACCTGCTGGAGCTCCACTGTGGAGACTGACACACACACACCATAAACACACGGGCCCATGTGCACGTACACACACAGTCACACATAGAAAAACACAGAAACAATGTTCACTATGGAAAAGTTCATTTTTATCACATTTATATCCAGTACTGTTCATAAAACAGTTCAATAATGGGAGCAGACTTAAAAGTACCTGTTGGGACATTTTCATACATTGTCCTCACTTGGTCTCAGAGTATCTTTGTGATGCAGCCTGTGAGGAAGCAGGGCAAGTTTACATGAACAACACAGCTCATAACAACAATTCAAATCATCTTTAGGCAGTTGACAAGGCATTGAATAAAAGGCCTATCAAGAACAATTAGTGATCGCCTCCATTACTATATTGAGTACAAAGTGGTACTGCTTTTGAGCTGGGTCCATCAAGTTGGCTAAGCATCATCACAATACAGCACTTTTACAACACAACAGTAAAAGTCTACATTTATATCTAACTCTAGATTGGCGGTAAAGTGGGTCAATGTGCCTTTGTGAGAAATACACAATCGTCCATCTGTCAGCAAGCTATTGGCATGGGTTAACTATTTACATAGCCAGTGGTGAACAAGTTTCGACAGGCAAGCTAAGCCAAGTTTATATTTGCCAAGTAACACAATGCCACAGATGTCTGAAGTTGACAAACCACAACAAAATTGTTAGCTAAACCCAAAAGAAGATGAAACTAGATCCTAAATTATCTAGCTAGAAGGAAAATATTTGATTTTGTTCCACCCTACTCGTACAGCGGAAGTTGATTACTGAATCAGCACCTTACCTGAACCAGGAAGTAAAGTTTTTTTTAAATCAGTGGGCGAGAGAAAAATAACAACGAACTGGAGAAACTGCTCCACAAAATCACTGAACTATCACATTGTTTGTGAGCAACGTCTAAGCTGTGAGAGCCCTCTAACGTTAGAGATGTAGTTAGTTAGCTAGTTATCTAACAGCTGCTTTGCTTTACAAGCAGCAGGTGCACAGTGCACACAATCATCATAATATATTTCTCTCCAGCCAGCATAGCTAGTCTAAATGTATGAACTAAACAACTTTTGTTGAAGTAAGTTTAGGTTCTCTGTAACAAGAGCTTTGTCTGAAGATAAAATAACTCCATAAACAACTTTTAAATTCTGAGCTTATCGAAATGTTCCACTAACTCCAGTGAGTCAGCTAGTTACAGGAGCTAGCCAACTTAAGTGAGTTAGCTACTGTTCTATCTAGCTAACAAGCTGTTGCGATACAGAACCTGATTTGCTAGCTAGCATAGCATTAGCATGTTGTTTTTGCATACTACAAGGCTAAATTAATTTTCTTTCTATTGACCACTTGCATTTTAACACTCTTATAGCTTAACCTGTTCAGATTTTTTAGTTAAACTACTTTTAAAGTTGAAAACAAGTCTTACTGGTACGATTTCACAAGGGTTTGGACTTGGACGATACTCAGAGATGTGTCGCTTTAAAAACGTCCGATGTCACGTGATCAAGTGGGTGCATTGTCAACATGGCGTTTCACAGAAGTCGGCTGTTTTCTTTACGGACCCTATCGTTAGGCATCTTGTTTTACTGTACGTATTGCCATTTCCAATTTGTTCTCGCAAATGATGTCGATAGCTGTGAAAGTCTACGCCTGGGACAATATCCTTTTACACTTGATTACTTGCAAATCACGACAATATGACAGGGTTTTCATTCAAACTAGCTAGCTAACGTTACCTGGCTAACTAACGTTAGCATGCATTCTCTGAGTTAGCTAGCTAACAAAAGCCTGCGTGTTGTGTACTTTTGGAAAACATGAAACGGATATTAATAGTATAGTTATGGCTTCTCATCTGTATTCACCTGTCATCTTCCATGTAACATTAACTCTTGCCAAGAGTCTTGGTTTTTCATCAAGATATGTTATCGGTTTTTATTGACAGCATGTTTTATTATGTGTGTGTATACACTGCTCAAAAAAATAAAGGGAACACTTAAACAACACAATGTAACTACAAGTCAATCACACTTCTGTGAAATAAAACGGTCCACTTAGGAAGCAACACTGATTGACAATAAATTTCACATGCTGTTGTGCAAATGGAATAGACAACAGGTGGAAATTATAGGCAATTAGCAAGACACCCCCAATAAAGGACTGGTTTTGCAGGTGGTGACCACAGACCACTTCTCAGGTCCTATGCTTCCTGGCTGATGTTTTGGTCACTTTTGAATGCTGGCGGTGCTGTCACTCTAGTGGTAGCATGAGACGGAGTCTACAACCCACACAAGTGGCTCAGGTAGTGCAGCTCATCCAGGATGGCACATCAATGCGAACTGTGGCAAGAAGGTTTGCTCTGTCTGTCAGCGTAGTGTCCAGAGCATGGAGGCGCTACCAGGAGACAGGCCAGTACATCAGGAGACTTGGAGGAGGCCGTAGGAGGGCAACAACCCAGCAGCAGGACTGCTACCTCCGCCTTTGTGCAAGGAGGAGCAGGAGGAGCACTGCCAGAGCCCTGCAAAATGACCTCCAGCAGGCCACAAATGTGCATGTGTCTGCTCAAACGGTCAGAAACAGACTCCATGAGGGTGGTATGAGGGCCCGACGTCCACAGGTGAAGGTTGTGCTTACAGCCCAACACCGTGCAGGACGTTTGGCATTTGCCAGAGAACACCAAGATTGGCAAATTCGCCACTGGCGCCCTGTGCTGTTCACAGATGAAAGCAGGTTCACACTGAGCATGTGACAGAGTCTGGAGACGCCGTGGAGAACGTTCTGCTGCCTGCAACATACTCCAGCATGACCGGTTTGGCGGTGGGCCAGTCATGGTGTGGGGTGGCATTTCTTTGGGGGGCCGCACAGCCCTCCATGTGCTCGCCAGAGGTAGCCTGACTGCCATTAGGTACCGAGATGAGATCCTCAGACCCCTTGTGAGACCATATGCTGGTGCGGTTGGCCCTGGGTTCCTCCTAATGCAAGACAATGCTAGACCTCATGTGGCTGGAGTGTGTCAGCAGTTCCTGCAAGAGGAAGGCATTGATGCTATGGACTGGCCCGCCCGTTCCCCAGACCTGAATCCAATTGAGCACATCTGGGACATCATGTCTCGCTCCATTCACCAACGCCACGTTGCACCACAGACTGTCCAGGAGTTGGCGGATGCTTTAGTCCAGGTCTGGGAGGAGATCCCTCAGGAGACCATCCGCCACCTCATCAGGAGCATGCCCAGGCGTTGTAGGGAGGTCATACAGGCACGTGGAGGCCACACACACTACTGAGCCTCATTTTGACTTGTTTTAAGGACATTACATCAAAGTTGGATCAGCCTGTAGTGTGGTTTTCCACTTTAATTTTGAGGGTGACTCCAAATCCAGACCTCCATGGGTTGATACATTTGATTTCCATTGATAATGTTTGTGTGCTTTTGTTGTCAGCACATTCAACTATGTAAAGAAAAAAGTATTTAATAAGATTATTTCATTCATTCAGATCTAGGATGTGTTATTTTAGTGTTCCCTTTATTTTTTTGAGCAGTGTATATATATCAACCTGACAAGCACAATTTGTTAGATATCATGTTATATTATTTACTATGCTGTGGATGACAGTTGATATTTTGTCATTGCCTTAATACTGTTCAAGTATATTTGTAAAGAACCAAGGATAGACGATGCCACTCAAGAACCTGAGAATTGCAAGGACATGATTGCTTGGGGTGAGTGGTTCTGGTTGAGTGATGTATAATATACTGAACAAAAATATAAACACAACAGGTAAAGTGTTGGTCCCATGTTTCATGAGATGAAATAAAAGATCCCAGAAATTTTCTCTATGCACAAAAAGCTTATTTCTCTAAAATGTTGTGCACAAATTAGTTTACATCCCTGTTAGTGAGCATTTCTCCTTTGTCAAGATAATCCATCCACCTGACAGGTGTGGCATATCAAGAAGCTGATTAAACAGCGTGATCTTCAAGCAGGTTGAGATCTTCAAGTTCCTTGGTGTCCACAAACTATCATGGTCCAAACACACCAAGACAGTCGTGAAGAGGGCACGACAACGCCTATTCCCCCTCAGGAGACTTAAAAGATTTGGCATGGGTCCTCAGATCCTCAAAAAGTTATACAGCGGCACCATCGAGAGCATCCTGACTGGTATGGCAACTGCTCGGCCTCCGAACGCAAGGTGTTACAGAGGGTAGTGCGTACGGCCCAGTACATCACTGGTGCCAAGTTTCCTGCCATCCAGGACCTCTATACCAGGCGGTGTCAGAGAGACTCCAGCCACCCTAGTCATAGACTGTTCTCTCTGCTACCGCACAGCAAGCAGTACCAGAGCGCCAAATCTAGGTCCAGAAGTTTTCTTAACAGCTTCTACCCCCAAGCCATAAGACTGCTGAACAGCTAATCAAATGGCTACCCGGACTATTTGCATTGACCCCCGCCCCTTTTTTTAACGCTGCTGCTACTCGCTGTTTTATCTATGCATAGTCACTTTATCCCTACCTACATATTACCTCGACTAACCTGTACCCCCGCACATTGACTCTGAACCGGTACCCCCTGTATATAGCCTCGTTGTTGTTATTTTATTGTTTCTCTTTTATTTTTTACTTTAGTTTATTTAGTAAATCTTTTTCTTAACTCTTATTTTTCTTAAAACTGCATTGTTGGTTAAGGGCTTGTAAGTAAGCATTTCACTGTAAGATCTACACCTGTTGTATTTGGCACATGTGACAAATTAACATTTGCTTTGATTTGAAACCGTCTCGGGGAAACTCATCTGCATGCTCGTTTTCCTCACCAGGGTCTTGACCTGACTGCAGTTTGGCATCGTAACAGACTTCAGTGGGCAAATGCTCACCTTCAATGGCCACTTGCACACTGGAAAAGTGTGCTCTTCACGGATGAATCCCGGTTTCCACTGTACCGGGCAGATGGCAGACAGCATGTATGGCGTTGTGTGGGCGAGTGGTTTGCTGATGTCAACGTTGTGAACAGAGTACCCCATGGTGGTGGTGGGGTTATGGTATGGGCAGGCATAAGCTACGGACAACGAACACAATTGCATTTATCAATGGCAATTTCAATGCACAGAGATACCTTGACGAGATCCAGAGGCCCATTGCCGTGCCATTCATCCACCGCCATCACCTCATGTTTCAGCATGATAATGCACGGCCCCATGTCGCAAGGATCTGTACACAATTCCTGGAAGCTGAAAATGTCCCAGTTCTTCCATGGCCTGCACACTCACCAGACATGTCACCCATTGAGCATGTTTGGGATGCTCTGGATTGATGTGTACGACAGCGTGTTTCAGTTCCCGCCAATATCCAGCAACTTTGCACAGCCATTGAAGAGAAGTGGGACAACATTCTAGACTCCCTGCCTGTCATCTTTTCACTCCCTCCTCTCTTCACTTTCTTCCTCTGTTTCTGCTGCTAAAGCCACTTTCTACCACTAAATTTCAAGCCTCTGCCTCTAACCCTAGGAAGCTCTTTGCCACCTTCTCCTCCCTGCTGAATCCTCCTCCCCCTCCCTCCTCCCTCTCTGTGGATGACTTCGTCAACCATTTTGAAAAGAAGGTTGACAACATCCGATCCTCATTTATTAAGTCAAATGACACCGCTGGTCCTGCTCACACTGCCCTACCCTATGCTTTGACTTCTTTCTCCCCTCTCTCTCCAGATGAAATCTTGCGACTTGTGACGGCCGGCCGCCCAACAACCTGCCCGCCTGACCCTATCCCCTCCTCTCTTCTCCAGACCATTTCCGGAGACCTTCTCCCTTACCTCACCTCGCTCATCAACTCATCCTTGACCACTGGCTATGTCCCTTCCGTCTTCAAGAGAGCGAGAGTTGCATCCCTTCTCAAAAAACCTACACTCGATCCCTCCGATGTCAACAATTACAGACCAGTATCCCTTCTTTCTTTTCTCTCCAAAACTCTTGAGCGTGCCGTCTCTAGCCAACTCTCCTGCTATCTCTCTCAGAATGACCTTCTTGATCCAAACCAGTCAGGTTTCAAGACTGGTCATTCAACTGAGACTGCTCTTCTCTGTGTCACGGAGGCTCTCCGCACTGCTAAAGCTAACTCTCTCCTCTGCTCTCATCCTTCTAGACCTATCTGCTGCCTTTGATACTGTGAACCATCAGATCCTCCTCTCCACCCTCTCCGAGTTGGGCATCTTCGGCGCGGCTCACTCTTGGATTGCGTCCTACCTGACAGGTCGCTCCTACCAGGTGGCGTGGCGAGAATCTGTCTCCGCACCACGTGCTCTCACCACTGGTGTCCCCCAGGGCTCAGTTCTAGGCCCTCTCCTATTCTCTCTATACACCAAGTCACTTGGCTCTGTCATATCCTCACATGGCCTCTCCTATCATTGCTAGGCAGTCGACACACAATGAATCTTCTCCTTTCCCCCTTCTGATAACCAGGTGGCGAATCGCATCTCTGCATGTCTGGCAGACATATCAGTGTGGATGACGGATCACCACCTCAAGCTGAACCTTGGCAAGACGGAGCTGCTCTTCCTCCCGGGGAAGGACTGCCCGCTCCATGATCTCGCCATCACGGTTGACAACTCCGTTGTGTCCTCCTCCCAGAGTGCAAAGAACCTTGGCGTGACCCTGGATAACCCTGTCGTTCTCCGCTAACATCAAAGCGGTGACCCGATCCTGTAGGTTCATGCTCTACAACATTCGCAGAGTACGACCCTGCCTTACACAGGAAGCGGCACAGGTCCTAATCCAGGCACTTGTCATCTCCCGTCTGGATTACTGCAACTCGCTGTTGGCTGGGCTCCCTGCCTGTGCCATTAAACCCCTAGAATCCAATGGTGGAACAAGCTCCCTTACGACGCCAGGACAGCGGAGTCACTCACCACCTTCCGGAGACACTTTAAACCCCACCTCTTTAAGGAATACCTGGGATAGGATACAAGTAATCCTTCTACCCTCCGCCTACCCCACCCCCCCAAAAAAAGAAACATTTGCAAAAGTGGTTGTCCCATTGGCTATCATAAGGTGAATGCACCAATTTGTAAGTCGCTCTGGATAAGAGTGTCTGCTAAATGACTAAAATGTAAATATAAGGATGTTAAGTACTATATTTATGGAATATTATATGAATCAATATTATATGAGCTTAATTTCTCAGATCAAATTAATATTTCAACAAAATAATGTTTTACGAATGCTAATCATATCTGTTTCTAACAACATAAATGATTTCAGAACAATCTTAGATGGTGGTTCTAAATCCTCTTTCTTGTGCTTTTTGAAGTGGAAAGACCCTTAGTCTTTCATGCATATATTTTATGTACGGAAGGTCCCAGGAATAGAACCCACTATCCTGGTGGTGCAAGCGTCATGGTCTACCAACTGAGCTACAGAGGACCAGCATGATGATTGGTTCTAAAACTTACTCCATCTATAAGTACTTTGGGAATTAGAATGTAGTTGACACAGTATCTGCATGGAGATACCACGTAGCCTATCTCAAATTGAAAGACCCTAATTTGCAGGGACGAGAAATTATAATAGGTAGCCCTAATACGTAATTTAGGTCTTGGTTCTTAAAAGTATTAAAACATATATTAAAGTTATCAATGTGTGTCTTTCCATCAGAATCTACATATTTGTTCCCACAACTGTGTTTGTTCTGTGTTGCTTTATCCTAAACCATCTTTTGTGGTTTTCAGTGGAATGCCTACCTGCTCCAAACGTCAGCTGCCGCTTGTCCAATGGGACGGAGTTTCGATTCAGTGGAGAGGAGGTGGGCTTTAACAAAAGCCTCCCTTGCAGGAATGTGTATGTACAGTACCAGACACTTAGCCCTGTGGAAGTGTTGCACATGTACACCCAGTAAACCAAACATTAGGAACAACTTCCACTCCCCTCTTTTGCCCTCAGAACAGTCTTAATTCGTCGGGGCGTGGACTCTACAAGGTGTCGAAAGCGTTCCACAGGGATGCTGGCCCAAGTTGACTCCAGTGGTTCCCACAGTTGTTAAGTTGTCTGGATGTGTTTTGGGTGGTGGACCATTCTTGATCCACACGGGAAACTGTTGAGCATGAAAAACCCAGCAGCGTTGCAGTTTTTGACACAAACCGGTGCACCTGGCACCTACTACCATACCCCGTTCAAAGCACTTGCGTATTTTGTCTTGCCCTTTAACCCTCTGAATGGCACACATACACAATGTCTCAATTGTCTAAAGGCTTAAAAATTATTATTTAACCTGTCTTCTCCCCTTCATCTACACTGATTGAAGTGAATTTAACAGGTGACATCAATAAGGGATCATAGCGTTCACCTGGATTCACCTGGTCAGTCTATGTCATGGAAAGGGCAGGTGTTCCTAATGTTTTGTATCGGCTGTATCAGGGTTGTATTCATTAGGGCACAACGTAGCAATGATGACCCTGAACATGTTTTGTTTTCAATTGATATTGATTAGGCTAAATCATATACCATCGTATAGTTATGTGATGTTTTTATACAAATGTAAAACATTATTGAACTGTTTCGAGCTAAAATGTTATTTCCTTGCAGAAGCGGTTACTCCTACAAAGTAGCGGTGGCCCTGTCGCTCTTCCTGGGATGGTTAGGAGCAGATCGCTTCTACCTGGGATACCCAGCTTTAGGTACAGTCTGACTGTTGTTATTGCTGTATACTCTCAACAACTAACATGGGGGTGCTATGGATGAATTTGCTATTAAAGTATATTCATTTTCAAGTCCTATCTGCTGCTAACAAACAGGTTTAAATACAATGAAAGATTTTCTAAACATTTTAGAATCACAAGGAATATAATTGTTTTTGTAAAAAAAAGGGGAACACATTTTGAAATGCATGACTAGCTACCCATTCATTTATTGGATATATTTATCATGTTTCATTTTTTCTCCCCAATTTCGTGAAATCCAATTGGTAGATAGTCTTATCCCATAGCTGCAACTCCCGTACGGACTCGGGAGAGGCGAAGGTCGAGAGCCATGCGTCCTCCGAAACACGACTCCGCCAAGCCACACTGCTTCTTGACGCACTGCTCGCTTAACCCGGAAGCCAGCCGCACCAATGTGTCGGAGGAAACACTGTACAGCTGGCGACCGATGTCAGCGTGCATGCGCCCGGCCCACCACAAGGAGTCGCTAGAGCACGATGGGACAAGGACATCTCGGCCGGCCAAACCCTCCCCTAACCCGGACGACGCTGGGCGCCTCATGGGTCTCCCGGTCGCGGCCGGCTGCGACACAGCCTGGGATCGAACCCGGGTCTATAGTGACGCCTCTAGCACTGCGATGTAGTGCCTAAGACCGCTGCGCCACTCGCAAGGCCTATTTATCATGTTTTTTATACGAGAGCTTGAAAAGATCTGCTGGTTTTGGACAGAAACACAATTTACACTTTTGTTGATTAGTATTAAGTAGACCATTAATCAACAAAGCAGGTCTTTAAGAAACAGAGACACTACTTCCTGTGAGGACCTGAATGAAACCACTATTATATCACATTATAAAACACACGTAAACCCAAACACTGGAGTGAAACAAACTGCTGTTTCTTACTCTTTATGTCGCGTTTATCTCCTTCTTAATCAGATTACAAAGGGCTGGTGGCTGAAAGCCATGTTTTTTGGGAGGATTTTTGCCTGGCATGAGCCAGCTTTAGAGGCTGCACTGAGCAGCACCTGGCCTGGTCTGGCACGGTTGGCTCGGGCATCACCATGGAACGGTGGGTTATTTAGTGGGCTTTTGCTTTGTAGAGTAGCCACCCGACTGGCATCGTTTTTAAAAACGTCCACCCAGGAATCAACAAAGCTACCCCCGTTACCTCCCAATGGAGCAATTTACAATAGTGTTAACAATTATTTTGAGTAATTATGAGTTGGCGTTTCCATAATTTGCCTGTAATTCAGATTATCTGTGGTTTAGCTGTGTGTGTGTGTGGCAGTGAGCTAGTGAGTGCCAGTAGTCATCGCCCAGTGATGCAGTGACTACGCCCAGACATGCAGTAGTGTCAGTTATGTTACATAGTTCTGTCGTAAGCTAGTGACAGTGTGAATGTTGAAAGGATGATTTCTAGTTGAATGACCTGCTTGCCTTGCTCTGTTTTTTAATCCAATTCACACCCTCAGCTGCTCAAAGCGGCTCATCTGCACACTTTCATGTTTACTCTTCTTCACTGCCCCTCTCAACGATAAAGACCTGTTGTTCCCAATCCTCAGTTGTTTTGGACTCAAAGTTGACTTGGCACGATTTCCCTCTGAAAGCAAATCAGGAAGCAGACCAATAAACACACACACACACCCTCTCCACTCCACCGCGCAGCAGTGAAAGCATTCAATATCGTTCAAATCAAATTTTATTTGCCACATGCGCCGAATACAACAGGTGTAGTAGACCTTACAGTGAATTGCTTAATAATACAAGTGTTAAGTAAAAAACAGATAAGTAAAAAATAAAAATAGCTAATAATTAAAGAGCAGCAGTAAAATAACAGTAGGGAGGCTATATACAGGGGGTACCGGTACAGAGTCAATGTGGGGGGGCACCAGTTAGTCGAGGTAATATGTGGGTAGAGTTAAAGTGACTATTCATAGATAATAAACAGAATAGCAGCAGCGTAAAAGAGGGGGTTGGATGGGGGGGGGGGGAGGCAATGCAAATAGTCCAAGTAGCCATGATTAGCTATTCAGGAGTCTTATGGCTTGGGGTAGAAGCTGTTAAGAAGCCTTTTGGACCTAGACTTGGCGCTCCTGTACCGCTTGCTGTGCGGTAGCAGAGAGAACAGTCTATGACTAAGGTGGCTGGAGTTTTTGACAATTTTTAGGGCCTTCCTCTGACACCGGCTGGTATAGAGGTCCTGGATGGCAGGAAGCTTGGCCCCAGTGATGTACTGGGCTGTACGCATTACCCTCTGTAGTGCCTTGCGGTCGGAGGCCGAGCAGTTGCCATACCAGGCGGTGATGCAACCAGTCAGGATGCTCTCGATGGTGCAGCTGTATAACTTTTTGAGAATCTGAGGACCCATGTAAAAAAATGTCAGTCTCCTGAGGGGGGAATAGGCTTTGTCGTGCCCTCTTCACGACTGTCTTGGTGTGTTTGGACCATGATAGTTTGTTGGTGATGGAACTTGAAGCTCTCAACCTGTTCCACTACAGCCCCGTCGATGAGAATGGGGGCGTGCTCAGTCCTCTTTTTTAACCTGTAGTCCACAATCATCTCCTTTGTCTTGATCACGTTGAGGGAGAGGTTGTTATCCTAGCACCACACGGCCAGGTCTCTGACCACCTCCCTATAGGCTGTCTCATCATTGTCGGTGATCAGGCTTACCACTGTTGTGTCGTCGGCCAACTTAATGATGGTGTTGGAGTCGTGCCTGACCATGCAGTCATGGGTGAACAGGGAGTATTGGAGGGGACTGAGCACGCACCCCTGAGGGGCCCCCGTGTTGAGGATCAGCGTGGCAGATGTGTTGTTACCTACCATTACCACCTAGGGGCGGCCCGTCAGGAAGTCCAGGATCCAGTTGCAGAGGGAGGTGTTTAGTCCCAGGGTCCTTAGCTTAGTGATGAGCTTTGAGGGCACTATGGTGTTGAACGCTGAGCTGTAGTCAATTAATAGCATTCTCACGTTGGTGTTCCTCTTGTCCAGGTGGGAAAGGGCAGTGTGGAGTGCAATAGAGATTGCATCATCTGTGGATCTGTTGGGGCGGTATGCAAATTGGAGTGGGTCTAGGCTTTCTGGGAAAATGGTGTTGATGTGAGCCATGACCAGCCTTTCAAAACACTTCATGGCTACAGACGTGAGTGCTACGGGTCGGTAGTCATTTAGGCAAGTTCTTAGTGTTCTTGGGCACAGGGACTATGGTGGTCTGCTTGAAACATGTTGGTAATACAGACTCAGTCAGAGACATGTTGAAAATGTCAGTGAAGACACTTGCCAGTTGGTCAGCGCATGCTCGGAGTACGCGTCCTGGTAATCCTGCGGCCTTGTGAATGTTGACCTGCTTAAAAGTCTTACTCACATTGGCTACGGAGAGCGTGATCACATAGTCATCCGGAACAGCTGATGTGCTCATGCATGCTTCAGTGTTGCTTGCCTCGAAGTGAGCATAGAAGTGATTTAGCTCGTCTGGTAGGCTTGTGTCACTGGGCAGCTCGCAGCTGTGCTTCCCTTTGTAGTCTGTAATAGTTTTCGAGCCCTGCCACATCTGACGAGCATCGGAGCCGGTGTAGTACGATTAAATCTTAGTCCTGTATTGACTCTGCCTGTTTGATGGTTCATCGGAGGGCATAGCGGGAGTTCTTATAAGCGTCCAGGTTAGAGTCCCGCTCCTGGAAAGCAGCAGCTCTACCCTTTAGCTCAGTGCGGATGTTGCCTGTAATCCATGGCTTCTGGTTGGGGTATGTACGTACGGTCACTGTGGGGACGACGTCATCGATGCACTTATTGATGAAGCCAGTGACTGATGTGGTGTACTCCTCAATGCTATCGGAAGAATCCCAGAACATATTCCAGTCTGTGCTAGCAAAACAGTCCTGTAGCTTAGCATCTGCGTCATCTGACCACTTCCTTATTAACCGAGTCACTGGTGCTTCCTGCTTTAGTTTTTGCTTATAAACAGGAATCAGGAGGATAGAGTTATGGTCATATTTGCCAAATGAAGGGCGAGGGAGAGCTTTGTATGCGTCTCTGTGTGTGGAGTAAAGGTGGTCTAGAGTTTTTTTCCCCTCTGGTTGCACATTTAACATGCTGGTAGAACGGATTTAAGTTTCACCTTTGCCTCGCAAGTTAATTTCCCATTCAGCCACACATGGGCAAAGTTGGAACCGAACATGGGGAATAAACTGGGGAATAAACCTTGCCTGGATTGGAGCGTTTTCATGTAAACAACAAAGTGTCGCTCACACAATAGGTAGCAAATTATGATTAGGGGCCACGGAGGGGTTTATTTATGCCAACTTTAAAGAGGCATGGAGTACCCCATACCCTGGTCCTGGAGAGCTACCGTCCTGTAGGTTTTCACTCCAACCCTAATCTAGCACACATGATTCTAATAATTATCAGGTTGAGAAGGTGAATCAGGTTAGTTACAACTGGGGTTAGAGCGAAAACCTGCGGGAGGGTAGCTCTCCAGGAACAGGGTTGGAGAGCCCTGGTGTAAACTACAGGAAGGTAGCTCTCCAGTAACACGGTTGGAGAGCCCTGCTTTATACCCTATTAACTCTAACACTCTCTCTCTCTCTCTCTCTCTCTCTCTCTCTCTCTCTCTCTCTCTCCTCTCCTCTCTCCCTCTCTCTCCTCTCTCTCTCCTCTCTCTCTCTCTCTCTCTCCTCTCTCTCTCCTCTCCTCTCTCTCCTCCTCTCTCCCTCCCTCTCTCCTCTCTCTCTCTCTCTCTCTCTCTCTCTAGGGCTGCTCAAGTTCTGTACAGTTGGCTTCTGTGGGATTGGGAGCTTGGTGGATTTCATGTTGATCTCAATGCAGGTGAGTGGCATTTAGGGGACAGCTGTGGAACACAGAGCTGTTAAATAATCCCATTTATCTGTTGGTTATGTCTGTGAAGAGGCTGTTTTCACAGTAACCATGAAAGGAATGGTTTATGTGGTCTGTTGATGACAAGGGTGGGTTAGGTCAGTATTTCCCTTTTGGGTCACAGCTGATGACTACATTGGTTGGTCCCAAGACACATGAAAAGGCTAGTTGGGTTACACTGCAAAGAGTTAGGGAACCACTGTGATGTTATCAGAATAGGATGGATTTCATACAAGTTTGATAATTGTATGATTTCAAAACAACTTCTAAGTTGTTCAATTTGGGCGCAGCTCCATGTATAAAAACAGTAGCTCTTTCTCCTACTAACAGTGATGGTAATCAAGAAAGTGTAGCACATTTTGTCATCACAGAGCAGCCTGGGCTTTGCTACAATGGTCAAACTTTTACACACACTCCAATCAGAGTAAGCCATGTAACACTGAGCAGAAGCATAGCCAAGCCAGTCAGGAGGAGTGTGTGTGCGTGCCTGCATGTCTGTTTGTATTCAGAGGGCACCTGTGTCTCAATCAGTGCGGCCCCAGCCCTGTGCTGTGTACAGAGCAGAGCAAGCCTTCAGCTTTAACTCACTGTCAACATGGTGGGATGTTTTCTAATGAAAAGTAGGTTTATTTGTTTGGGATTAGTAATTGTTTTTTCCCCTTGTTCCTTGAAAAAAAATATGGGTTTATCGTATAGACTAGTGGTGGTGTGTAGTTTTAGGACTGTAGGCCTATATCTTGAATTATATTTCAGCAAAGGCCTATGCTGCTGGAGTCTTCCTGTATCACATCTGAGACCAAAACACAAATCATGATACACACTCCAAAGAAACAGAAAACCTTCTCTCTCTTTATTTACCTCTCTTCCTCTCCAGTTCTACACTACATCCGACTGTGTAGCAGGCCTGTATAAAGTCGCTATTTCGTTAGAAAACGGCAACAGCGTCCGTTCGGCCACTTTGATTAAGCGAGGCGACCGTTGCACTGTTTATTGTTCTCCTAATGTCTTATTGAAGGTCCTGAGAGAGGAATGCTTTTAAGCTGCTTTGGCTGGCACGCCCCAGCACAACACTTACATTCTCAATTAGCTGTATACGCTGCGTCTGGGCTCTCTCACCTTTTTAAAGAGTGACACTTTTGATAAAGAGTTCTGCGTCTCCGGAGAACCCATTTAATCTTTGCGAGGCGCTAAAGACCCATATTTTAAAGGCTAACTACCTTGACTAAGAGCAACGTCGGAGCGGGCAAATGCAATTTTGAGAAGTTTAACTAATGAATAAATACCTGGGATTATTATTTAAATTGGTAGATTCTGGCTGGACAGGACTAGAGGAAAGGAGACCGGATGGCGTTTGTTTGGGGCCTCTCGCTCCCTCTCTCTATCGAAAGGCCGAGGTCCACACCAGATGAATGATGTCGGGGAATTTTCCATTTGACTCTCAAACTGGGCAGAGCAGGAGTTAGACAGATGTGATAGATAGATGGAACGTGAACGGAGGGAGCTGTGTGTCAGGCATGGGATTCAAACAATACAAGGTAGTGGGTTTCCGGGCCGGCATACAGTGTTGTGAAAATTAAACCCACTTCTGAAAGCCCTATCACCAAAGCCACTACCTGCTATGGATGAAATCTAGGCTGGAATGCATCATAGTTGAGTGGTAGCCTAGCTGAAGTTGGTCTGGAGCCATAGATGGAGTGCTGTTGGTCTGGAGTCATAGATGGCGTGTTGTTGGTCTGGAGTCATAGATGGAGTGCTGTTGGTCTGGAGTCATAGATGGAGTGCTGTTGGTCTGGAGTCATAGATGGAGTGCTGTTGGTCTGGAGTCATAGATGGAGTGCTGTTGGTCTGGAGTCATAGATGGAGTGCTGTTGGTCTGGAGTCATAGATGGAGTGCTGTTGGTCTGGAGTCATAGATGGAGTGCTGTTGGTCTGGAGTCATAGATGGAGTGCTGTTGGTCTGGAGTCATAGATTGAGTGCTGTTGGTCTGGAGTCAGTGGGTGGAGTGCTGTTGGTCTGGAGTCAGTGGGTGGAGTGCTGTTGGTCTGCGTCATGGTGGAGCTGTTGTGTCAGTGGGTGGAGTGCTGTTGGTCTGCAGTCAGTGGGTGGAGTGCTGTTGGTCTGCAGTCAGTGGGTGGAGTGCTGTTGGTCTGCAGTCAGTGGGTGGAGTGCTGTTGGTCTGCAGTCAGTGGGTGGAGTGCTGTTGGCTGAGTCATGGGTGGAGTGCTGTTGGTCTGCAGTCAGTGGGTGGAGTGCTGATGGTCTGGAGTCAGTGGGTGGAGTGCTGTTGGTCTGGAGTCAGTGGGTGGAGTGCTGATGGTCTGGAGTCAGTGGGTGGAGTGCTGTTGGTCTGCAGTCAGTGGGTGGAGTGCTGATGGTCTGGAGTCAGTGGGTGGAGTGCTGATGGTCTGGAGTCAGTGGGTGGAGTGCTGTTGGTCTGCAGTCAGTGGGTGGAGTGCTGTTGGTCTGGAGTCAGTGGGTGGAGTGCTGTTGGTCTGGAGTCAGTGGGTGGAGTGCTGTTGGTCTGCAGTCAGTGGGTGGAGTGCTGTTGGTCTGCAGTCAGTGGGTGGAGTGCTGTTGGTCTGCAGTCAGTGGGTGGAGTGCTGTTGGTCTGCAGTCAGTGGGTGGAGTGCTGTTGGTCTGCAGTCAGTGGGTGGAGTGCTGATGGTCTGGAGTCAGTGGGTGGAGTGCTGTTGGTCTGCAGTCAGTGGGTGGAGTGCTGATGGTCTGGAGTCAGTGGGTGGAGTGCTGATGGTCTGGAGTCAGTGGGTGGAGTGCTGTTGGTCTGCAGTCAGTGGGTGGAGTGCTGATGGTCTGGAGTCAGTGGGTGGAGTGCTGATGGTCTGGAGTCAGTGGGTGGAGTGCTGTTGGTCTGCAGTCAGTGGGTGGAGTGCTGTTGGTCTGCAGTCAGTGGGTGGAGTGCTGTTGGTCTGCAGTCAGTGGTGGAGTGCTGATGGTCTGGAGTCAGTGGGTGGAGTGTGATGGTCTGGAGTCATGGTGGTGCTGTTGGTCTCAGTCAGTGGTGGAGTGCTGATGGTCTGGATCAGTGGTGGAGTGCTGATGGTCTGGAGTCAGTGGTGGAGTGCTGTTGGTCTGCAGTCAGTGGGTGGAGTGCTGATGGTCTGGAGTCAGTGGGTGGAGTGCTGATGGTCTGGAGTCAGTGGGTGGAGTGCTGTTGGTCTGCAGTCAGTGGGTGGAGTGCTGTTGGTCTGGAGTCAGTGGGTGGAGTGCTGTTGGTCTGGAGTCATGGGTGGAGTGCTGTTGGTCTGGAGTCGTGGGTGGAGTGCTGTTGGTCTGCAGTCAGTGGGTGGAGTGGCTGTTGGTCTGCAGTCAGTGGGTGGAGTGCTGTTGGTCTGCAGTCAGTGGGTGGAGTGCTGTTGGTCTGGCAGTCAGTGGGTGGAGTGCTGTTGGTCTGCAGTCAGTGGGTGGAGTGCTGTTGGTCTGCAGTCAGTGGGTGGAGTGGCTGTTGGTCTGCAGTCAGTGGGTGGAGTGCTGTTGGTCTGCAGTCAGTGGGTGGAGTGCTGTTGGTCTGCAGTCAGTGGGTGGAGTGCTGTTGGTCTGCAGTCAGTGGGTGGAGTGCTGTTGGTCTGGAGTCAGTGGGTGGAGTGCTGTTGGTCTGGAGTCAGTGGATGGAGTGCTGTTGGTCTGGAGTCAGTGGATGGAGTGCTGTTGGTCTGGAGTCATAGATGGAGTGCTGTTGGTCTGCAGTCAGTGGGTGGAGTGCTGTTGGTCTGGAGTCATAGATGGAGTGCTGTTGGTCTGCAGTCAGTGGGTGGAGTGCTGTTGGTCTGGAGTCATAGATGGAGTGCTGTTGGTCTGGAGTCAGTGGGTGGAGTGCTGTTGGTCTGCAGTCAGTGGGTGGAGTGCTGTTGGTCTGGAGTCATAGATGGAGTGCTGTTGGTCTGGAGTCAGTGGGTGGAGTGCTGTTGGTCTGGAGTCAGTGGGTGGAGTGCTGTTGGTCTGGAGTCAGTGGGTGGAGTGCTGATCTTGACATGGTAGAGCACAGACTCCGCTTGTGTGTTTTTCATTGGTCTGTGTGAGTTCACTGTTCCCTCCCAGATATGTGTTACCTGCTGGACCATTGTTTTCACCATCTGTCCACTGTCGTTTCTCATTCCTCTTTTAGATTGTGGGTCCGTCAGATAAGTCTGACTACATAGTGGACTACTACGGTGCCAGACTCACACGCCTCTCCATCACCAATGAGACGTACAGAAGAACCCAGATGTCTCCCTGAAGGTAGCTACACTAGTAACGTACTAGTTAGACAATAGGCTTTGTTGAGTCATTCACTGTGTAAGTGTGGAAACCCAGAACAAAAATCTTATGTAACGTCATCAGCAACCATTTACATGTACTCTGTGTACAAAACATTAGGAACACCTTCCTAATATTGAGTTGCATCCCCTTTTGCCATCAGAACAGCTTCAATATGTCGGGGACATGGGCTCTACAAGGTGTCAAAAGCGTTCCACAGGGATGCTGGCCCATGTTGGCGCCAATGTTTCCCACAGTTGGCACGTTGGCTGGATGTCCTTTGGGTGGTGGACAATTTTTTTGTTACATTTTGTTAAATATTTATTGAATATTAAAAACATACAATCTACTTGCAGTGAAGCTGCTCAACTACATCACATGAGTCGTCTAACAGACTCCCATCCAGAGTGACACACAGAAGCAACCAGGGTCAACGCCCTGTTCAAGGGCACGTCGACAGATCTCCTAAAAGGTCAAAAACGGGGATCCAAACCGAAAATGGTGAACCATTTTTGAAACATAAAGGAAATTGTTGAGCGTGAAAAACCCAGCAGCGTTGCAGTTCTTGATACTCATACCGGTGCGCCTGGAACCTACTACCATACCCCGTTCAAAGGCACTTCAATCTTTTGTCTTGCCCATTCACCCTCTGAATGGCACACATACACAATCCATGTCTCAAGGCTCAAAATGCATTCTTTAACCTGTCTCCTCCCCTTCATCTACACTGATTTGAAGTAGATTTAACAAGTGACATCAATAAGGGATCATAGCTTTCACTTGGATTCACCTGGTCAGTCTATTTCATGGAAAGGGCAGGTGTTCCTAATGTTTTGTACACTCAGCATATGTTACGTAGTCTGTCCAACGATTATTCACTATGTAACTGTCTTTCCATCTACCTCTGTACTAATGTCATTTTGATTGTCTAATTATTACATCTGTATAGGGTTGCACAATTCTGGGAACTTTCAATAAATGCCCTGGTTTTCCAGAAATCGTGGCTGGAGGATTCCGGATTTCCTGCTTATTACCTCATAATTCTGTGAATCCTCCAACCAGGATTTCAGGAAAATCAGGGAATCTATTGAAAGGAAAACGCGCAGCGCTCGCTTCGTAGTTTTATTAGACAAGTTTAAAAGATTGACGTTTCGGCCTTCAATGGCCTTCTTCATGGTCTTCAATGGCCTTCTACTTCTTTCCAATCTATTGAAAGTTCCCAGAAATGTGCAACCATGCATCTGTATGACATGTACACAGCCAGGTGGCAAGACAAACTCTGAACGACTCTAACACTAGAAGTGAACCAGATCCCAAGGTTGTGTGGTTTTGCACCACTCTAGCTTGTATGACCTATGGAGGAGAGGGAATGTGAAGGCAAACACCCAGTCAAGGACAACTTTGCCTATCCATGGTTATGGACCCCCCCCTCTCCCTCTGGTACTCCAGGACGGACCCACTACCCTGGGGAGGGAATTTTTAAATGTCAGCCTGCTAAGTAAATGTTTGGGGAGGGTGGCGCTTCAGGAGTGAGGGGGAAAAGGGTCGTGAGAGTGCAGTTATTATACCTGGCATAGGTGTCCCTCATCAGTTGAGCTCTACCACAGAGGAACGAGAATCACACACACACACATACTCACTCACACACACCCTTTCACACATTTTCTCAAAAAACAATATCCACGTCTTTAAATCTCCAAGATTTCAACTCTCCCTTCTCTATCCCACTCTCTGTCTGTTTTCTATGGCTCCCTAGTCTCTGGTTAGCATTATAGAGGCTGCAGTGTGTTTGTGGTGACGGGGGTGTTTGGTTCAATTATACACATGTGGAGTCCATTACAAGCCTTTGAGTGTTCACACTCAGAGAAATAGAGGGAGCGAGAGAGAGAGAGATGGTCTTCATCCACCGTCTACAGTTCCTCAGTCTCTGTCCTTCATTTTACTGCATGCATGTATCTCACGGCCACATAAAAATTTAACACTGACTGCCTCGAGTATTCACCAATTTGTAAGTCGCTCTGGATAAGAGCGTCTGCTAAATGACTTAAATGTATTCAAGTTCAACTCAGAAAACAACTAACTGTTTACAACCTCTCTTTTCTCTCGTTTCAGGACTGAAGTGAAAAACAACAACAAAAATATATGGGGGATTGGAAATGATGCAGACAATTACATTGATGGAAGCTACAATCTATCTGCAATATTAAAGCTGATCTACACCCCCCCCCCCCCCCCCCCTCCAAAATTCAAAAATAAATAATAATAATATCTCCGCCCTCAAACCTGTCATGTCAATAATGCCGCTCTTTTGGGAGCCTATTTTTTACTTGATCATTCCGACACACGGACACTAAGACCATCCCAGTCGACACATTGATCCTCTCTGAATGTACCCCAACGTGGTGATGCTCGGCTTTTTAAAATGGCTACAAAAAGGCTTCATTACAGGAGAAGACTTTATACAGCATCTCTTTAGTCTTTCCTTGATTATTTGTGTCCTTCATTCCTCAAAACACATTTAAAAAGATCAGAGGAGATGAGGATAGATGTTGCAAAGGAATCAATCAAAAACGTTTGGGATTTACCCGTTAGTCACCAGCTCAGGTCCTGTAGGGCTAGAATAGGACAGACCTTTGTTCCAACCCAGCATTATCACACCCTATAGCTCTCCAGGACCATAGAGCTTCAAGTCATCATTGTTGTACTCCTATAATAATCTAGAATCTGCACTGAGAACAGTGTACTGTAAATATCATCATCATCTATTGTTATTTGAGTATGTCTGGCAGCAACTATTTATGTTCTGTTTGACTGTTTCGTTGATTTCATTTGACATTTGCGATTTTTATAAATAAAGTAATAATTTTATGAAAATGGACGCCTTTGTAAATGAAGTTATGTTCAAACTTGCCGTTTAAGTCCAACACAGAGCATTAGCAGTTCATTTGGCTAACTCCAAGCTCATTGGAGGAACTGTGGCAGTGACCGATCGTCCTGCAGGGATTTCAGAGGTCAAGGAAATGACACGCTAGCTCTCGGCATCATCCTGCAGATGAAGACAGTTCTTCTCCCCCTGAACCCTCCCTACTGTCATCTTTATTACAAAGGATCCAGTGGGGGTTCTTGGGAAGAGTCACAAGGCAGAGCCGCCCTGCTGTGTGTCTGTACACACATTCTCCCTGTTGCTTTCTATTGCACTGTGTCGATAAGGAGTGTCACATCCATATGTTTAAAGATGTCTTTCAGGCTCATGTATCAGGCCATTGACACCATGTCTGCATCCCAAATGGCACCATATATCCTCCATAGTGCACTACTTTTGACCAGAGCCTTATGGGCCCCTATCAGGCAGTAGGTGGGCAGCTGGATATTCTAGGCATTGTGTCAGTATGGATATCCAACACCACTGCGGTGAATAGTGGTTAATGGATTTGTTATAGCGAGAGTTGACTCGTAGTTGGAGGTTGCTTGCGGTGGAGCGGGTCCTTTGTTGTTTTGACTGTTTCAGGGCATAGGAGCTGAGTGTGTTTACAGATGTACATGTATAACATGCCTGGCTGTATTCAATGACAGTGGGACTTGAAGTCTCTTTTCAAGGTTTCTTCGCAAAATAAATTTTTATGAAGGGATAACTGTTTTTAAAAAAGTATTCAATAATGGGTAAAGCCTAAGGTAGGAACTTGTTAGTAGTTTGAACTGAATACAATTTTAGTTTGACATGACATCAAAACAACGCCTAAACCCTACAAAGAACCAAGTGATGGTCTGAAACACAGTGGTCAAGTTATTTTCACAACTCCCCCAAATCCACTTCCTCCCTCACACTCTCCACCTCCACTCCCCAACTCATCCTCCTCTTCCTCCCCCTCTTCCCCCCAACTCATCCTCCCTCTTCCTTCGCCCTAGCTGGAGCTCATCAATACAGCACAGGGATAAGAGTGGGGAGAGTTATAGGGCACTTCCCAGGAGAGGAGAGAGCTGCAGAGTAGAGGCTGAGCTGAGCTAGGCCTAACCCTCCCACCACCCGCCTGACAGAGAGGAGGCCATTCCTCATATAGCCGAGTGCTTTATAGCCTCACACTCCGCTAGTGTGGAGCGCTGATATTACAGAGCACACACACAGAGAGGAGAGGGGAGAGACAGTCAGACTCCAGAGACAGTCAGACTCCTGAGACAGTCAGACTCCTGAGACAGTCAGACTCCAGAGACAGTCAGACTCCAGAGACAGTCAGACTCCTGAGACAGTCAGACTCCAGAGACAGTCAGACTCCTGAGACAGTCAGACTCCAGAGACAGTCAGACTCCTGAGACAGTCAGACTCCTGAGACAGTCAGACTCCTGCACCCACTCCAGACCTGCTCCCCTGAAAACAATCTCAACCCCTTTGGAGAAATTATCCTGCATTGCAGCCTCCATTGATTGCACCCACAGCCCGACAAGGGAGAGTGGAGAGAGAGTGGAGAGAGATGGGAAGATAATAGTTGGGTCTGCAGTGATTCGTGCGTGTGTGTGGGCCTTAGCATGTGTGTGGGCCTTAGCATGTGTGTGTAGACGTCTGTATATATGCGTGTGCTAGTTGGATCAGACTAAGGAGGATTTAGCTGCTCTACTGACTCACACACTCAGACACCCAAGCAAACTCCCTGATGTCAAGGAGTTTAAACACAACAACCCCCCCCCCCCCCCCCCCCCCCCCCCCCCCCCTCCCAGGCTCTCCCACACACACACTCTATTCTCAGAATCAGAGAGGCCCTGCAGTAACTTGTCCCCTATAGGCACCTCTACAGTGGTCTGTGAGAAAAGCCTAAGCTGAAATAACAGGAAGGCTGGGATGATGAGGTCACCGGCCCCTCAGTAATGTTTGCTTATCTTTATAGAAGTCAAGTGAGTGAAATCATAAAGTGACACAGGGAGAGTCCCAGCTGGTTTGGTTACTCAGAGCCAGGGTTGTGCGGCTTGGGCCTACAGCCAGGGGTCTGT